AGATCATTAACCGAAGCTGAATATCGAGCTTTATCATTTACCTCAGCTGAATTGGATTGGATCAAACAATTATTAGCATTTCTGCACATTCCACTACCTAGTGTGCCTGTCCTCTTTTGTGACAATCTCTCAGCCATTGCCTTATCTTTTAATCCTGTTCAGCATCAAAAGACCAAACACATAGAGATCGACGTGCATTTTGTTCGTGAAAGAGTATCATGGAAACAACTCTATGTGCAGTTTGTGTCTTCCCAAGAGCAATTTGCTGATATTCTTACAAAGGGGTTGAGTGGTCCTCTTTTCAGAACTCATTGCTGCAATCTCATGCTTGGTTCCTCACAGCATGCTCTTGAGGGGGGATGTTAGAGTATAGAGCTTTTGATTGTGACACTTGTCACAATCTTGCTGTAGTAGTTAGTTTGTTTGTTATCTGTAGTTATATAGAAGACTTTCTCATGTAATTACTGATTTATTAAGAAAATATATCAGATTGATATTCTCTCTAGCTTCTCTCTCTAGCTACTCTCTCTACTCTCTCTCTCTGTTCTTGGTTCAATATACCTATCAGTTGATATAGCTTAACACATTGAAGCCTCATGTTTTGCGAAACCACTATTCTAGAACATTCGTCCTCATCTATAAAAACTCAAAGGGTACTTAGCCATCTCTCACACTCTAATCACTAATTAGGGTTTTGGATCGATCAGCTTCCAAAGAGAGAGAATGGTGAAGACATCTGAGGCGTCTGAAGCCCGAGATGAAGAGTCTGATGATGGTGTCATTTCTATCGGAGAGCCTGAGCTCAGGTTTCCTAAACATCGATCTCAGGCTCTCCTAAACATCGAATCAATGATTTACCAGAAGTATATTTCTATATCCTTGTCTCTTTTGTTTATCTTTGCCATGTTAATTTCTGTGCTTAATTTACGTGTGTTTGATGATAAAAATTTTGTTTTCTTGCTTCTTGTCTGCGTAGATCTGTCAGATCTGTCTGTGAAACTTGTGTATTCAATTGTGATTTTAATGGATTGTTTTGAAACTTAAAAGTACGGGGGTATTCAGTTAGGATTTTTAAGTAATCAATAAAAATCTAATGGTATTCAATTATGACTTTTAAAAGATAAGAAAAAGTACCGTGGTATTAAAAAACTTACTGATTTTGAGGTATTTCATTAAATGATATTGTGTGAGAATTTTGAGTGTGTGATATAAATACCAAATCACATAACAAATCTCATCTTCCTATGCATGATTCTCATATATGCTCTCATACTTTTTTTTTAGTAAATTTGGCTTACACCCTTCAAATTCAATTTGCCGTACCTAAAACCCTTCACTTTTTGTTCCTATAAATAATACCCAATTTGTATAAGTAAAAATCCATGACTAGGATCTAACTCAGCAAATTACCTAATTAAGCATAAAATCTGATTTATTGTACTTTTCAGATTCCAAAAAT